AGAGCAGTGCGACCTAGAGAACGGGGCTGAATCACCCTGAAAATTCTTCAAACTTTCTAAATTTTTTTCTGATGTTTTTTGATTTCTCTTGGATTTTTCTGTTTTCTGTTTCCTGGATCCTCTGGCTTGTGGTCCGGGGTTCTTTGGTCCCGTGGTCTTTTGGTCCGCGGTCGCTGAGCAGAGGTGCAAAATCTGTGGAAAAAAGGAGCTCGCTTCCCATGGAGTGAGCACTTTGGATAGGAAGCTTGGGAATGATGATGTGGGGATCTTCGATCTCCTCCGCTGCACGTCTCGTATCGGAATCACTGAATTGAAACCCGGCTGCCATCCGTCGTCGTGCTGGGAGTCTTTTTCGTGGCATTTTTGAGCATCATTGGCATTGCAGAGGATTTTCTTCTCCGTGCGTGGACGCAGCTTCAAGCTCCCAGAGAAGCCCGCAACAACCGAAAAACGATGTTTCGGGCTGTGGTGGGGTTCAAGGATATACTATCTGCCATTTCCATTGAGATGGAGAAGGGCATAGAAGGTCTGTTTTGTCTGTTTTGTTAGGCGCCATCAAAGACTTCAAGTTAGAGGCTCGAGGGTTCTTGTTGTTGGGTGCCTTGGAGCCGGGCCTGCTGCCGGGGCCGCCGAGCCGTTTTTCCGCCCGCGATGGCGGTGCGAGTGGAGGTGGAATGTGCTCTCACGCCCCTCGGCGGCTTAAGCTCTAGGGAGAGAGAAGACGTGGCCGGCCGTGACTAGAGACCCCTCTCTGTTTTGCTGGACTGCTGGACTTACGGTCTGCGACTTGAGTTCCAGCAAGTTGGCACAGCTCTTCTTTTTCGGGTCGTGCTTGTCTCACCACGCCCAACCTGGATATGTTTGTTGTTTATGTTCATTCTGTGTTCCGAAGAACTAGACCATCGAACCCGTACCGTTTCACATCTTATCCTCAGGGAGTTGCCGCGTGTCCAAGGCGGGAAGGCGACGATGTCTGCCTTGTGGGCGCCTCGCCTGCTTTGGGCAATTGGGACCCGAGCCGCGCGCTGCAGCTCAACACAGGCCGCTTCTGTGCGCACACGACGACTTCCAATTGTCCATGCTTGCAGCCTTCAGAAGTCGTGTCTGAGTGTGTGCGGGCGGGCACAAACCCAAAGCGAGAGAGTTTCAGTTCGAAGTCTTAGCCCCACAGCCTGAAAGCCGGGATGAGTCTGGGATGTCGAAGACGGCAGCTTCCCACCCCGCTTCACTGTCTGCAGGTCCCAGTCTTTGGCCGCGCTGGGCCAAGGAGGTTGCTCTGGCCCATGGCACAGAGTGCAAGCTGATCATCCGAAGCTACTGGGACTGCTCAGAGCCCGCCCCAATTCTCAAACATGACTCAGATCTTTTCCGGTTCACGCTGCAACCATCCCCTGCTTTCCAAGAGCACACTTCGCAACATTCATCTGAGGACGAGGCGGGCAGGTGGAGGCTTGAGCACCCATTCAGAGAAAAGCTTTTTCGTGTTTTGTCTGTCTGCTGCTTCTCCCCTCTGTCGATCTTACACTTCAGATTGCAACTTCGAGTTTGCTGAGGAGTGGGAGGGGATGACTGGCAACCGAAGCTGGCCCGCAGCGACCCCTGCATCGACGGTGTCGATGACGCTTGTCCTGGGGTTGGAACCGACCAATGACTCTGATACTCGGGCTCTAGCCTAGTACTTTCAGTCCTGAGCACGGCATGCCGCGAGGAAGTTTGGCGTGCCGGCAATAAGCTTCGATCCCGTCAAAGCGCCCGCAGAGTCTACAAAGCTTCCGCAGCCTCCTGCTGTCGCACTTCCGCAGCCACAGGTGCGTCTATCATGCCTACCAGTGCCCACCAGATCTAGCCGATCTAGCCGCGCCATGCAACAGAGCAAAGACTCAGTAGATACGGCTTCTGTGCGCGAACAGTTCGGCAGGTGGCAGGCTACCGGCCCGCGAATGCGCCTGCCTCACCGGTGCCTGCATCGCCTTCAGAGTCCTCCAGGAGTGGCAGGACGCCGAAGGCCCACAAAGATCTGCGGCAGAAGTTCATCCTCGACATGAACGACGGGCACCTATGCTGCACGCTGCGGTGCTCAGCCGACTCTCCTCGAAGTTAAAGCTTAGCATCTCCATGGTCCGAGGTACGAGCAAAACATCGAAGAACGCTTCGATTTGGACGAGAAGGCCAAGCTGGGCGATGGGGCTTTCAGCGTGGTGACTCGAGCCACCAATCGAGCCACTGGGGCCGTGAGGGCCATGAAGTCCGTGCTGAAGTCCAGGGTTCAGAAAGTAGAGGCCCTGAAAAATGAGATCGATCTGGCACGCGACATGGACCATCCCAACATTGTCCGGCTCTATGGGATCTACGAAGACCCTCGGCACCCGGGACTGTTTAGAATCCTTGCAACGGGAACCGACCCCAGGCCCCAGATCCGTACAGAGCCGAGGCACGTGTACCTTGTCATGGAGCTGTGCGAGGGTGGTGAGCTCTTCGACCGCTTGTCGGAGGTCTACTCTTTGGGGGAGCCTCGGAGAGACGGCAAGTGCGGTAAGCAACGTGCGTTCTGCAGAGATACATGTCTCTCAGGAGAAGGGCGCGCGGGCCTGCATGAGGCAGGTGTTTGCCTCCGTGGCCTACTGCCACTCCAAGGGCATAGTGCACCGGGACTTGAAGCCCGAGAATTACCTCCTCTACGACAAAGACAAACCCCTGGACCAGACTCTGCTTAAACTCATTGATTCTTGGCACATGCCTAGTCATTATCCAGGGGCCTTTCTTCGTAGTAAACTTGGTCTCTGTGTTTCTCACTGCGCTCGCTGCTTCCATGCCCCTGATCAAGAAGCACCCCAGGCATTCAGCTAATTCTGGCCAGGACCCTGCCATTTGTTGTTTTCTCTTGCCATCCGCTCTTTGTTACAAGGAGGAAAGAGAAGACAACTAGCAAGACCACCCTGATAATGACCCAGGATTTCGGGCTGGCGAAGCCCTTGCCTGAGGCTGGCTGTTTGAGGACGCGAGTGGGCACGGCCTATTACGTCGCACCGGAGGTGCTGGCACAGGCTTACACGGAGGCTGCAGATGTCTGGAGCAGCGGTGTTATCATGTACATCATGCTCTGTGGCGCTCCTCCTTTCAACGCAGACAAGGACAGCGACATCCTCAGACTTGTGAAAAAAGGCCAGTACAGCATGGAGAGCGGGGTCTGGCGAACTGTGAGCACGACGGCCAAGAGCCTCATAAAGGCTTGCCTGGAGATGGATCACAAGAAGCGCATCACTGCTCAAGATGCCTTGAGCCACGAGTGGCCCGGCTCAAGCTCCACACTTCCACCCCCGCACCCCCGGCCGCGCCTGCCCAAGGTGGTTCCACCGGGACGAAGTCGACGGTGCACCGTTGGACTCCTCCGTCCTTCGCAATCTGCACCTTGGCGGAAAGCGGAAAGCACCGGGCCTGGGCGGCAATTGCGTCAATTGCACGCAGCACGCAGCAAGTCTCGGCACATGCAGGCGGGCTTTCAGCAGCGCGAACCGCTTCCGCAAGGCAGTGCGGGCTTGTTGCTAGGAGCACCAACATCTATTGCATCTCTCACGCATGTGATGTGGAGGGCGGCCAGCAGTGAACGAGATGCATTGAACTCCCAGCAACTTGTTGGATGTCATTCAGGCTGCGTTGACCGCTGTGGCTTACCAGTTGGGCGAGGACGAGCGGCATACCTTGCCGTACATAGATTCGAACGATTTGGCCTGTCAAGCGAGTTTGACGTTGTCCTTCCCAACTCAGCCGCCCCCTAGCTCTGCAGTCCGCCCAGCTATGCACTCCACGCATCTCACTCCTCAAGGACGAGCAGAAGGAGCTACGTGAGATCTTCATGAGGCCTGGCAGAAACTCCGTGGTGCGACTAAAGTCACAGCATACGCTCCTAAACCATTCGCCCCGGGCAGTGAGTGTTTGAGACTCCCAGTGCACTAACGTTGAAGTTATGCAGGCTTGATACCAACGGCGACGGCTATCTGAGCCTGGAGGCTGGCGGAAACGGGTGTACTACGGGGCAGGTTCCTTTGAAAAGCAGGGCTTGTGCAGATCTTTGTACGGTCCTCACCAGGAGATCAAGCACGGGCTCCAACAGCAGATGGAGATTTCGGACCTTGAGCAAGTCCTCCAAGAAGTGCGGGGCCGAGTAGAATCCCGGTTTGCGAGACCCTCAAAATCCTCCATGCCATAAGTTGAAACTCTGGACAGCGTTCCGGTTCCTTGCCCGGAGCATTTGAGTGAGGCAGCGCTTAGAGCATGGCTCCGTTCTGCCGAGGTGGACTCAAATGGGGACGGCCGAATCGAGTACACGGAGTCTTGCGGGTTCTTTGTTTTGTCAGAGTGCCCCGTCGGATCTGAAGCCACCAGCACCAAACTTCTGCAGGAGTTCCTGGCCGCAGCTATGGACCAGAGGCTTCAGCGGAACGAGACCTCGTGCTGACGCGCATTCAAGACCTTTGACAAGGACTCCAAAGCAAATGCTAGGAAGATTTGCATCTTGCTCGGAGTTCCTCTGTACCGCGGTCGAGTCTTTACCAGACTCGTTGCAGGATGGGGACGGAAAGATCACCTATGCAGAGCTGCAGCAAGTGCTGGAGGATGATGAGCTGCTCACGGAGGTTCCCGCAATTCTGGCGATGCTGCAGACTCTCTGCAGCCTGTGCCGCTGAGGTTCCTGACTGCGAGGATGCTCGCTTCTACTTCGACAAGATGGATGCTCGTCCCATCGCTAGGGGGTCAAAGGACGGAGATCTTTAAGGGCCCCAATTGAGCTGAGGATGCCAACGGCGATGGCGAGGCCGGGCCATGCCGGGCCATGCCGGCGGCCTCGNNCCCCCCCCCCCCCCCCCCCCGCCAGATTGCAGCTTCTGTACGTGTTACGTGGGCAGATTGCACTCAGCGCCGGCTTGGAAGCGCGAGGTGAGCTTCGAGGAGTTTATGGCCATGCTGCATCCAAAGGAAAGTACAAGGAAAATGAGCAAGAACAAGAGTTTACACGAGCTTGCGGAGCAAGCCTTCCAGGAGACGGCTGGATAAACATCCCCTCGACGTCCCAAAACCTTTCACAACAATGAAACGGAAGTATCCGGCAACTGTCTCACTTTACTCTCGCCTTGCTCTCGATTTGTGTCTTCCCGCGGTGTGGCCTCACATGGAAGAGAACTCTTTGCGAGGCATTTTCAACAGGATCTTTTAACATGCATGCCCAGGAAGCACGACGGCTCTTGTTGGTGGTTGCAGTGTGCTGAGAAAAAAACATGTCCAAGTGAGCGCAGCCGAAGCTCAAGAGCTGTCCTCAGCTTGCCGGGCGGTGCGCATCTGTTGCTCGCGGGTTGGTACTTCGAGGGCGCGATTGAGGAAAATGGTGCATGATGGTGCATGCAGGGCTTGAGCTTAGCCTGCCGCTGACTTGTTGGATCGTCAACATGAGATTGGGGTTTTCGGAGCAGTCTTTGCTTGGTTAAACTGCCGTTTTTTGGTTGAGAAGGGGTGGAATGATCATTGGACTCAACTGTTGGCATTGGTGGACCGAAACAAGCGCACAGATCCTTCCCCTGCAACACTTGTTTGACACCATGCAAAAACAGGACAACAGACAGCAGACTGCATACAAGTCAGAGCAATAGGGCTCTGCAGAAAGTCTTTCCAGCTCGCTGTACCAGATCTGCAATCACCCACTATCTCCTTTTCAGCCTGGCGTTGGCTCTGCGTCCATTGTGATGGTTGCCCATGGGACCCTGCAGGCGGATTTCATCCCAGGCTCATGCGTTGGGTCTCTCCTGTGGCGTTTTCGTCGCAGGTGTGCCCTCCTCGGGCAGAGAAGAGGCCCGCGTGTCCCGGGCTCGGCAGATGCAGACGCAGTCAGGGGGGGGACAGGAGGCGAACGCCTCCGCCTCCGGGAGCGAAGCCATGCAGGTCCTTCTCAGAACTTCGAGACGCCCCCGAAGCGAAGCCACGGCCCTGGCGCTCCGATGCTCCAAAAAAGAGAAGACCAGAGAGAGACGACGCCTTTTTCAGGGCGCAGCCTGAAGGGCGCTGACAACGAGGCCAGGCCCCTCGTGCGTTCGAGAGGGAAGGGAGTCGTGTGGTCGCTTCAGGCTCCGAATGCCTTGAAGGCGGCTTGCGAGGCGCTGAGGAAGGAGTTCGCTGAGGCCACAAAGCGAACAAGATGCGTTTGTTTTTTTTTGCTCCGATGATGGTGTCATTGGGTCGGCATTGGAGATTGCCTGGGTACGCATGTGGTGCTCTAGACGAATCACGGCTTTGGGATGGCTTTCAACCAGTCCTCGATGCCTGCTTGCTAGGACTATTTCCTTGCACCGGCCAAGACAAGGCGCAAGAGGGACGCAGGGGGGCAGACTGATTTGCTTTCTGCAACGGCAAGCACATCCGCCGAGTAAGCCCGAAACAGCGCCCTGTTGCCGAGGCTCCCGCCAGATGAAATTGTACCCAGGCTCATGAAGCTCGGTGGACAGGCAGGGGGGTGATCCCAGCTCGAGGTGAAGCACTGCACCCCGGGAAAGCCAGAAGCCCTGAACCCTTTCCGAAACTGGTTGCCTCACTTCCCACTACCTCCTGCCCGAGTCCAACAGTACGCGAGACATGTAGCACGACCCCTTGTGCCCTGAGAGCAACAGCCCCAAAGGCAGAGGCCTGCCAGGAGGCCCTGGCCCAGGCAAAGCAGAAAAAGAGCCACTAGCCGGCAAAGATGTAATCGGCTCTGGCCCTCTAAAGGTCCCTCTCAATCCCCTTCCCTCCTTCTGCGCCATCTTGGGAATAGGCCTATCATGAAGCATCACACCTGTAGGGAGCATTGTGGGTTTGGATGGAGGGATGTCTGCGAAAGCATTTTGTTTTTGTTGTTTCCGGCCTCGATGGGAGTGACTTTGGATTCAGAGCTTAGGGTTCGGAGGCTTGGATGCAACCTCCGATCCGGGATGTCCTGAGCGAGGTTTCAGGGTGGTGCATGTTTGGGTGGATCTTCGTGCTCATGCCTCCATGCAGAGCTGCAAGCTTGAAAGGGGTCGCCAGCCCAGGTGTGAATGCCGTGGTCACGGAGAACAAGGACCGCGAAGTCGCTTTGTCTTCCATCTCCCTTGGCGGCTGAAACTCGAAATCGCGAGCCTCGTGCTTGCAGGAGGAGTGGATCAAACGCCTCGAGAAGGGCTTCTCGCTTCTTTTCGAGGTCCTTGGGTTGCTGACCTCTAGTTACAAAGTTTCGGGATTGGAGTGCCGAGTCAGCTTGATGATGTGGCTGGCAGTTGCCTCAAAGCGGTGGCAATAGTCATTCAGAGTTGTCCAGAACCGTAAGAAGGAAAGAACTGTCTTCTAGTTTGCAATGTTAGCAGCCTTCTTCCCTTGTGGGCCCTCTGGTGGCCTCTGATATGCCCTACAAAGCCCACATGTGCCCTAAAGCGCGAGAAGCTACGAAACAACACATGCCGAAGGACCGAAGCTTTAAGAAGCCTTGCAGCATCCGGATGACTTTGAGATTGCATCGGTTTCGGGCTTAGACCGTTCGGTGCCACGTGGGTGAGTAGAGGGTCCTCTAGCCAGGGGGTCGGCTCCAAGTATCGGCTTCTGGAGAACTTTGCGCAGGCAGGGGCGGAGGGTGGCAAGCTTGCGGGTGAGGGACGTGAGGGTGGGCTTTCGGGTTTCAGAGGTCGAGGTAGGAGCTTTGTGGCAATGGATTGTTACGAAGGAGCTGATTTCTGTCGAGGTACTCTCGAAATCTGGGATACCCATCGCCATCTTCCAAGCCTTCGACAAGGCCAGTCGTCGTCTTTGAAGTGCATCTGGGAAAAGAGCGGCCTGGGCGAATACGGTTGGAATGGGCTCAAATCACGAAAGCTGCCTCCTAACTTGTTGGGGGCTTTCGTTTAATGCTCTGCTTTGCTGTCCTGTGAGTGCATGCTCTCTGCTGGGACACTGCAGGTGGCCGCTCGGACCCGTTTGTCGAAGGTTTTTGCAGAGGGTTGAAAACACGGAAGTTTGGAGGGCGCCGTCATGCTCATGATGGCTCTCTCTGGTCCGAACTGACGCATCCGTCTGCTAAGCAAAATGAGCCCGGAGCGTCACTGCTGTAGGAGCTTTAGTCCCCACCTCCACTGGGCACCCAAGTCTTACCGCATTTCGAGGCAGGCACAGGCTGATTGGAGAGAGGGACGCTGCACAGCTCCCTTGCAGGGCAGCTCCCTGGCTGCTTTCCTGCGAGAGCTCTTGGAGCAACACGGCTGGAAAGGCGCGGCTACGCCGGGGCAAGACTTGGTGTCTTCTGGAGCCTTAGGAGCCTCAAAATCTTCGACCGCAATGTGAGAGAAACCAAAGTGTGCAGGAGCCGGCTCACTCCCCCGCCTTTGCAGCGCTTTACTGACTGTGAGGGTCCCAGCCTGCCAGCGCTTTGCTGCAGCTCAGCGCTCGAAGCCGTTTCTTTGCAGGCCAGACGGGCGGCCGCCGAGAAACACCCCTTGGTGCTCATCATCCACAACCTGGAGGCGAGCGTGGAGTTTCTTTTGCGCCCGACCGCAGCACCTTTCTGAGCGCTGGGAGGTGCTTCCGGCACCGCATCTTAGCGCCCTGGCATCTCTTGTGGCTGCCAAGAAGGCTTGGTGTGACTGTAGTGGTGCATCCTCCTCTCACTTCGCTCCTTTGTGGTGACCAGCGCATCTTCGCATGGCATCGGATGGGTTTCCAAGCCTGGCAGGAGATTTGGCTGGTTGCCTCGGCAGTGGCCTCGGCGCTCGCAGTGTCTTCGCAGGTCTTCTCCAATGAACCCTCCCTGAGTGCCGAGGTCGACAACATCTTTGCCGATGCAGCGTTCAACATGGATCCTCACGCTGCCATGGAGCTACGGGGTTCGGCTTGAGACATGTCGGTGTAACACAATTGAGACGGTGAGAGACCGGGCTTCAGCCCTGAAGCACGTTGAAAGGTGAAAGGGCCCGAAGGATTCCTGCATAGCACCTCAGCGTGAGTGCAGGATTTCAGCTTCTCCTACGAAGAGGTGCACGCCCGCGACAGCTTCCGAGCTGCATCGGACCTGAATACTTGGCGCGAGTAAAGCCCGACAGAGTTAGCATTGTAAAATCTCGGCAGGTATATCTAACCATCCATTTAAACAGTTACACGGCGCTCACTGCGCTGAATCGCTTCCGCGCCCAGGCTACTCCACTGTGGAACTGAAGGGCCGGTACCCGGACGGGCTGCTGAAGCCCAAGGAACCCTACCTTGAGAGACGATGGCAATGGGGATTCCAGCGGTGGTGGTGTGGATGGCAATGGGAGTGTCATTTTCATGCGGCGCAGATCCCGAGCGCTGAGGCCCTCGTGCACGCACCCGCTGGCTACGAAGAAGCAGACGAAGGCACCCGCGGCGTGTTCTTTTCCCGCTGGCGATACGGTGAAGGCTGTGACCGAGCTTTGAAAGAGCCGAGGCATAGAAACGCAGACTGTGACATGAAAGCATCAGTACATTGCCGATCACCAATAGGAGGTCACGGTGGTTTCTTTCAGGATAATTGGTCTTGCCTGAAGATTTAGGGCCTAAAGGCCGCCCCTTCAAAGAAGGGCAGGGCTGCTGAGCTGCTGCTTCCTTGCATCTGGAGGCGAGTCTTGGGCTCGTCTTGCGCTGCTTGACGCAGAATCAGAAGGAGCTGGTGCAGGAGAGGGGGCAGGGAACGAGTCCAGCTGTGCAGTTGGACTGCTGAGATTTGCTTTGCAAGGCGGTAGTAGTTTCCATTCGACAAAATCAGAAGAAGTCTTGTGCCGGAGCTCGGCAGGAGATTGCCAAGGAGCAGCTGTCAAGAGGCCCAGCCATAAACTCGGCCCCTTAGTCTTCCTGTGGTGGAGAGAAACTGTGCCTTCTTCGGTTGTATTCCTTTCTGAAGCAGGTGGACTAAATATCCGCAGCAAGCCTTGCACTTGCGTCACCTGCGCATCCCTTTATCCTGTGCTTGCAGGGCAGCAGGGTGTTCCATGGGACGAGTTGGTGGTGGCGACCCAAGGATGTCCGACATGACCCTATTTGAGCAAGGATGGCATGGGCTTTGTTTAGGGATCCTGCAGTGTACAAGTGAGGCCCAAAGTGTTGACATAACCGTTAAGCCTTTGCTAGCCAATCCTAAAGCAAAACTGCGGGTGGCACACCGATGCAGCGAGTCGCAAGCAGCTCTTTTTGATGAAACATGAAGTGCGCTGTTCGTTGGCAGTGCCCAGATGATCTACACTGAAAAGGTGCGCACGATCACTGATGCCGCCACCACCACAATCAGCAGCATCAGCGACAGAATCAGCATTGCCATCAGCACCAGCACCATCCTCTTCATCAGCAGCGAGATGAGCGACAGCACTAATCACAATGCAAATGAGGTCTTGGCATCCGACCTCATGATCGCCAACAACCACACGAAGCTGAGGCAACCGAGCTTTTGCAGCATCCCTTTGCATCCCCCAGCTTCGGAACATCGGGCGTAATCACGGTGAGAGATGTCATGCAGTGTACTGTTGTGCAAAAGCGGGATGCTGAGGCCGTACTTGTCACTGCTCGTCAGCTTGCCGTATATCTTCCCCGGGGAAGGCGTTCGCGGGGCGACCCTTGCATGGTGGGCACGGGGTTGGGGACTGCTGTGGGCTCCAAGAGTTCGCCGAGGCTGTGGGTGTTGGCGGGTGCGGACGGGGCTGGGGCAGGCTGTGGTCGCCGGAAGGCCAAGCGTTCGCCGGGCGACGTCTTCGTGGAAGGGGGATGTTCGCTGGGCCAGGCCGCCATGGACCGGGCTGGACCGAGCGTTCGCGTGGGGAAGATGGGGACGCTGGGGACTGCATGTGATGTTTTTACATCGTACACATGTCTACCAAGCCCCATTGTTGCAGCCTCCGGTCTGAAAGGAAGCCATTCAATGTTCCGTGGTCTTCCCGCAGCCCTTTTGTTGTCAGTGGTGGAAGAGCACATGAGTTCTTTCGCCCGGGGATGTTGCGAATATGGTCAGTGTCGGGTGACTGTTTGGCTTCTTACCCCGCGGAAGAAGCAGGCGATGTGCGTACGCTGAAGCGCAAGCTACAGAGCTGGTGCGGTGTGCCGCGCTTCCGTCAAAGGCTGCTAAACAACGATGTTGATTTAGGAGACGATGCTCCGCTGCATTCTGCAATGGACCTGCAGCTGATCTTGTTGCCCTTCGCCGAAGAGCATGTGGATGATCTGGCGACCGCTGTGGAGAACAATCTCGTCTCCAAGGTTGAAGAGGTGTTGCGGCGTGCTCAGAATCCAGATCTGTCTCGACAGGACGCAGTGGAAACGCCTCTTGGAATCGCGGCACAAAGAGGTCACGTGGAGATTTCCCGGTTGCTTTTAGAAGCCTGCGCCGACAAGGACAAGATTTGCCGAGGCGTCCGCAAGACACCTCTTGGTCTGGCCTGTTGTGGAGGTCACGTTGATATTGTACGCCTGCTGCTGGAAGCTCGTGCAGATAAAGACAACACAGATGGTCAAGGCATCACTACTGCCATTCAATTGGCATCCAGTCGTGGTCAGGTGGAGATCGTGCGACTACTGCTCGAGGCCAATACAAACACGAAGGAGTTCAAGCCCGTTTCTGACCAAGGCAGAACGGCTTTGGCCCGCGCGTCTCGCAGAGGCCACACAGAGATCGTTCGACTGCTGCTTCAGGCCAGGGCCATCAAGAAGGCAGAAGACCACGACTGCCATACAGCTCTCAAACTGGCATCGCGCAGAGGCCACTGGGAGATTGTGAGAGTTTTGCAAGAGGCCAGTGCCACGCAGGACAGACAAACACAAACTACACAGGTCGGTTTTCGTACTTTACACCGAAGGAGTTTGCAGAGGGGCGTTATAGGTCTAGCTGGTGACTTCTCAGGCTCCATGGACAAACCCCCGAAGCCCAAGCCACGATCTGCTCCTCTTCTCTCAATCCAAGGACTCTTTTGGTTGTTCCAAGGGAGACTCAATACTGCAAGAAAGGAAACTCAAAGGTTTACCGCTGGATTGTATGAGACGGCGGTTTTAGCAGGTGTTCTCGTGTTGGATGTGTCCGGTAGTGATGCAGGAGCACACCACATCCGGTGTCCAATGCCTTGTCGGGGCTTCGCGCGACGGAGACGTGGATCTGGTGCAGCGTTTGCTGCAGGTCAGCGCTGACCCTGACATGTGCGATCACCAAGGCAGAACCGCTTTGATGCGTGCATCGGCTGCAGGGCACATTAAGATCGCGCAGCTTTTACTCACTGCGGGCGCCGATGCCGACAAAGCAGATAACGAGGGCACGACCGCCCTGAAGTTGGCCTCTTTTCTGGGCCGCTTAGAGATCGTTCACTTGTTACTGGATGCTCGCGCTGATACGAACATTGCGAGTCGAGAAGGCCGGACACCTTTGATGTCGTCATCTGGCAAAGGGCGCTTGGAGATCGCGCGCTTGCTCCTCGAAGCTGGTGCGGACAAGGAGAAGGCGGACAATCAGGGCACTACCGCTCTGAAGCTGGCGTCCAACAGAGGCCGATCCGATATTGTAAGCCTCTTGGATCCCAAGCCGGCTTTTCAGTGTGTGCAGTCTTGACGCATGACCCAGTCCCGCTGCATCTTCGGCTTTCGGACAAGTAGTCTTGGCAGAAGGACCAATAAGACAGGCTTCTGAACTCATGGCCGTATAGGGCCATGCATCGTGCTGCATCTGTACATATCGACACACACAGAAAGAAGCCGCTCAGTCTTCGATCTTCAGGTTCAGGTTTGTTGTCCAGCAGGAGCAGATGTCTTTCTTCAGGCTTGAGAACAGGGGTCTCAGGGGGCCTATGTGCGTGGTTTGCATGAAAGGTTTCTCCGCAGCACAACTGACAGTGGACATGCGTGCTGTGGGATCTTACATTGTGGAGATGACATTTGACGCTTGTGAAAGCTCGCGCAGGCCTTTAAGATTCTCAGACTTTTGACTATCGCGCTGTTGACTGAGACGGTCGCACGAGGCGCCTTTTGAGTGAGCTGACAGACCACCAGATCCTCATCGAGAGGCCCTGGTTCGGTGGCGCTCTGTCTCTCTCTCTCTCTCTCTCTCTCTCTCTGTGTTAGAAGCTTGTAACAGGGCCCATATATTCCCAACAGGAATGGCCGCTTCGAGCTCGCGGTGAAGGAAGCAGTGCTCAGGCGCGGGCCGGTGCTTCGGGGCCGGGCGGGCCGGGCGGCGGGTCACCGACATGTGGCCTTCGCAGGAAGTTGGCCGAGGGCGAGTCGGTCGAAGACGTGGACATCGAAGGCGAAGGCGGGCGCTGGGGAGCCAAAAACCCTCGAGCCAACTTCTTTCCTCTCGGACTCGCGATGATGTCGGCCAGGTTGCGTTGCAACCTCGGTCGTTTGGTTCGGTGTCTACTGTAGCTTTTTCACTCCTTGATTGGTTGATGGGTTGGTCACCGGTTGGTCCCGTGCGAAGAATCTCCTTTGTGTGCCACACAATGGCCTGTGGTGTTGTTAGCAGTTAGCAGGGATTTGAGCACCGGAGAGCGCGGCTACAAAGGTGATGCCGCAGATGATGTCGAGCAGGAAGACGAAGAGTTCTCCGAGGACTTTTCTCTATAGCCAGTGCTCATAGGATCTTGAGGATCGGATGTAGGCAGGCCTGGAGGGGCAGATTTTAGGGTTAGTCGAGTCTAGGTCCTAGGTGAACAGAAGTGCAAGTGCAGGTTCCGAGGTGTCTGCTAACGTCTGTAGCCGAACATGCTGCAGTTAGACACAGTGATCGCGGCTTAGCCATACTGTAGACTGTACGCAGGCCTCAGAGGACATGGACGATGACGAGTGAGAGAAGCTATCACGTCTAAGCGGCCTTAGATGTGTTTTTTCTTCTTGTTCAGTGGGTGTTCGGTGAAGCATATCATTCCTTGCCATGAGCTCGGGCTGAGGTGTAAGCTTCCAAGGTCCCTTCGTCTCGGTGTTTTTTTCTTGGGGTTCGGACTTGGAGCAGTGACTGTGCACTGCACTGAGTGCGTCGGTCTGCGAAGGTGTCCCAACCGAAGCAGAGCTACGTGTAAAGTTTCTGACCTGTCGGAGCTGAGGGTCAGGATGACTTTGCTGGCTTTGCTTCGCTGGACCCGCTTGCAGACGTCTCACACTGATGGGGTCTTGGGTGTGTAAGAAAAGGATGTAGGCCGCAGGCACTCTTTGCGTCCACCCTCCTGTGCCCTCTTCCCGGTCGTTCTACAGGCGTAATGTGGCGGGCATTCTGCACGTGCATCACGAAATCTGCTGTATGTATGGAGGGAAGCGCTGTCACAGCCGAGTGCATGCAGTGCCATTGCAGTTATCTTGTGTATGTTAGTATGACGTCACTAAGGCGGCTGCAGATTCCACGCAGTCTTCACAAGGTCTAGTCACTAGCCTGGTGTCAAAAGAGCGTTCCAGCTTCAACTGCCATCTGGGAGCAGCAGCTGCAAGGTTGAAGAATCATCACAGCTTATCAGTGCAAAGCATCTCTCACATGCAGTTCAGTGGGTGAAATGAAACTCAGTGATCCACTCTCAGTTGCTGATCTGGACACGGATAGGCGCATGCGCTGAGCCCCAGCGCCGGTAGGCTGCTCCTGCATCCGACCATGGCACATCGGCTGCGTCGCCTCTGCGATCAGGTCCGCGTTGGGGAGAAGTGCACGCGTGGGGATTTGAGGCCCAAGGTCTCCACGGTCTTGTCCGTAGCAGGAATATGGAAGACACGGGCTTCTTTGAACTTGCACTGTGATTTACAAGTTTAGGTGCAAGTCGATTGCATTGCCAACAGCTTTGTCTGGTGTTCTCTCCATTCCGCTCTTGTCTCTGGTCTGGAACGAGGTCAACCTGAACCATTCTCTTTCCTGGGACCTGACCTCTTGGTTTTCACATAAGTCTCATTCTCATGAGTCCCAAGTCGAATCAGTACCGGAGGTAGCCCCTGCGCCCTGCGGCACATCGGCGGCAAGCACTGCGGGTGCGTTTCACGTTGGTGTTGGGTTTAGCACGGTTTTGTCTGTGATTGTCGCAGCAATCATGCGAAGCTTGAAGCTTAGCTTGGTGCGGGTGCCGCACAAAGTTGGGGCATGCCTCGAAGATGGATTGGAGATTTGGAGAGTCGACAAGGTCAGGTGTAAGTGGAGAGGAGACCAGCAGCTCTCTGTTGAGGGACCACTGCTTGCGGGGACTGCGAAGATCGACGCAACAGACAAAAATTGAGCGCCAGACAGCCAAGGCGCCTCAGAGCCGCCTGCGACCGGCTCCATTGCCGGCTCGGTGGTGGTGACACTGGTGGCGGCGGGCAACAGCGGTGCCCCGTCACAACGAAGTGCACGAATCAGCCGGCCTCCACACAGCCTTCCCTATCACAGAGACCAGTTTCCACCGTCGCATGTTTTTCACGGCGGTGAGCCTTGATGCTGTGGATAGAACTCGACTGCAGTGTAATTGTTGTATGACGGCAACAGACCCTGAGCGGGAGGTCACGTTTGTGCGGCTTTGATCAACGGCAACACGGGAGGCGGGACCGCCGGTGGCAATACTAGGGCAGTTTTCAAAAACAGAATTAGTTTCTGGCTCATGTCTATGTCCGGCCTGAAAATGCGCCTTCAAAACACGAGCTCAGTTTGCATGCCTGGTCTTTGCCGGGATGAATTTCTGAGAGAAGCATAGAGCTACAGTTCTTAGTGTTCAGTGTTCTCATTGATTGCTGACAGAATTTGCCGCGCTTTGCTTTGCTTTGCTTGAAACGAGCTTGATGTTGCTCGGTCCGAGCCTTGGCTCCCAGCGCCGGCAGGTCGACTATTCCAAGGGGGATCCAACGTAGTAACGTCTCTCGCAGTTCGCGTGGGTTCGTGTCGGAACAATGGCATCGTGGTGTAGGCGGGCTAGGAAAGCTTCTGCAGACAAGCGTAGTTTTCCGTGAGCATGAAGCCATGCAAGTAAAAAGACATAGGCCCACAAGGGCGCTCTTCTCCCCAACGCCATTCGCTGTCCGCTGAGCGATGTGGGAGGAAGTCTGCCGCTCTCACTTGCATCGAGACCTCCAAAATCCATGTTAACCGATCAAGACCTACACAGCAAGACCAGCCTGCAAGCTAGTAGGAGCAAATGGATATGTGCAGTAACTGAGCAACAGTGGCGTTCATCCCGCTAGCACAGGGCACCCTTTGATATGGCAGTGCTGAGGGCGATGAGGATGACAGCGGCAGCAACAGCTTCAGCTTCGTAGTAGCTGTGACTTTCTGATGGGCGGTATTTTAACATAGCAACGATGGTTTCGTGTGAGGTTGGCATATATGCAAGGAACCATGGATGTATTCACGTATCTAGCAAGACCTGCTTATGCACTCGCAAAAGGAATCAGCGGTCAATGAGTAGACGCACAAACAGTCATATACAGGCAGGTTGAGTTACAGCTAAGATGTAAAGCAGTAAAGCAGACGACTGCAACAGCGTATAGCTTGTAACTACATTAGGTAGATATAGCGTTAGAGAACAGAAACACATAAAACAAGACTACGTAGCGGAATCATGTAGTCGGTACCAGTGCCAATACTGCCGTCGTTGCCACTGTGCTTGACATCATCGCTAGAAATCCCGCGATCATGGCACGACAGCAGAAGGGTACAGTGGCCCATCCAGGGTATCTCTGGGTCACCGGTCCTATGTGTGGACAGATACCTAGAAAAGGTCAGAGGGCCACAGGGCTTTTCTTCGGGACTTGGGAGTGAGGCTTCTTTAACACGATCCTTTAGTCAGAATCCTCGATGCGGGCCCGAGGGCCAGCAGAGTCCATCGCGCACGCAACTTCCAAGCTTCGCTGAATCGTTTCGTTTTTACGTCGCCGACTGAAAACTCTTCGGCTTGATGCGCAGATGGTACAGTGCAGCACCTTTAACAACAACCTGTCACGTTGCCTCACGTTCCTTGAAGCCACAGATGCTTGGTAGTGGGTTTATTCCAAAACATGGAAGGTAAGACATGGTACGAGAGCTATTCCAAGAACTCTTTCAAGGCAGGAGGGCTTGGCAGATCTTCCGAAGACTTGCTTCGCCGAAGCCCGGAATGCAGCAGCGCGTGCTTCTGCAGAGCCGTGCAAACCACGAGAGCTGTTTGATCCTAGCAAAACAGGAGGCGCATGTCGGAGACTGGGTAGCTGTGATGCTAGGACCATCAAGACCCGAGTACGAGACAACTCGATTACGAAGCAGAATTGGTTGAGGGCGGCAGTGCGGAATCTTGCTTCATTCCAGCGATGTCTGGACCGTGTTCCAGCCTGCTCTCTGTCTCCTCTGCCTGTCTCCGCCTCTCGCCTCTCCCTAGGTCTCTGTTTGTCTCTCTCTCCCGAGTTGTCACTTCCTGCTTGAAGGGTTTGGAGGCTCCGTTTCCCTGCAACATTTTGCATGTTTGTGGATGCTGTTGCTGCATGTGCTGCTCCAGCTGTTGTTGGTCTGATAGTGGAAATGGATCGCCTTCCCATGTAGACTCATTGCAGGAGGGGTCCATAATCCAGTTCCTCCACAAGGATCGGCGCGAGGGTTTCGACTTTCGAGTTTCTTCTTCTACTTGCCAGTGATCCGTGGGTCTCGAACTTTAGATCGGATGTGGGAGAGACCCGGGAAGCTTCCCGGAAGGGCCAGTCACTGGATCTGCTCAGCGGGGCACCCCTGCAGGACTCGAAGGAGCTGCGCTACGGCATGGTTGACAAGGAGCCTCGAACAGCTTTATCAGCGGTTTGCGTCGGCTACTCCAGTGCAACCTGCTTGCCACAAGAATCTGCATAGCATCATGACGAAACAAAACACCAGGAGTTGTGGCGGCGCCATCGCTGTATGCCAGGAAAACTGCAATATGCCACGTACGTGTGCAGGCGGTCAGCGAGTCCGAAGGCTTCGTGAAGATCGCAGATGGCACGTCCCGTGCAGCCATGCAGGGCTCTTTTTGCTGTGGACTTTTCACTTTTCAACTGCGAGGCTTTAGGCGCCAGGTAACGAGTTACAACTGCGAAATCGCCGAACTGTTCAGGCGGCACAATGGGTTGAATTCAGAAGTTTCATATTTGTCGCGAGTATGCACCTTTCCTTTTCCCTGCACAGAGGTTCATCTGGCTGACGGAGGCGAATTCGATCTGGGCTTTTGTGGCAGACGAATATCTGGATGCTCGGGATCATGTTCACTGGAACAGGGCAGACTCGTAACGGCGCTGACTTGATTTGAGGTCTATCTAAAACTATGTCTCATGTAGGATTCTGTTTGGTCGGTAACTCCGTAACATGCGTGTCTTCGTTGTCTCTTACAACATCTGGGGCCCTTGCCGACTGCGCTGCGGTTGGTAGACATCGCACGCATCCGAATGTGTTATTGAGCAGAGAAAACCATTCCCAAGGGATGCGAGTGTGGATTGGGGGATCCAGGTTTGGTTCAGGGCGTGGCGCCTCGGAGTGGCCTTCGAAGGAAAGAGTTCGGAAAGAGCGTGACACCACCCGTGTGACGTCTTAGACTTGGACTTAGAGCTCTGCCAAGGAAGAAGCCAAAGCCATCATTGACGCCTCCATCGACATGTGGAGGATAGCCATGCTCCTGTCCACAGAGGGCGTGAAAGTGGCTCTCACTGCGACGACCGCAGACGGCCTGTTCGGCGCATCCTCACTGGCTGCTGGGGGTCTCACATGGGCTGGAGGTTTGGGTGTGGGTGCTGGCCTGGTGGTGGTGATCGCAAGTGCCCCATCCATGCTGGCTGCCACCAGCCTCTACAAGCTCAGCAGCGCCATGGAGAACGACTCCCTGACGCCTCAAGTGGTGGCGCTTGGAGGTGCTGGCGGCGTCCTCGCCGGGTCTACTGCCGGCCTCTTAATGATCTCCGAATCCGGGACGATTGCAGGGCTCTCGGCTTCGGGCGTTGTAAGTGGTTTGAGCACCCTTGGTGGTGGAAGCGTCATGGGCAGCCTGGCAATGGGTGCCGCGGTGGTCGGCAGTGTGGCTGCGCTGACGGCCGTCGGTGTCGGGGGCGTGGTGTGGCGGGTGTCGCGGGCCTATGTGCAGGATCGGTTGATAAGCCAGAGGTCGACCATGCTCGACCTTGCTGTGCAGTACAAGTTTGAAAACCGATTGCAGCCCGAGCTTCCCGCGAGTGATGCCCAGCCGATTTCTACGGCGTCTTCAGAAGAAAGGCAGTGATCCGCGCCGCGTGTTGAACTCCATTCCGTACATAGATGCCTGACATGATGCGCGCATCATCTTCCGTAGTGTCGTCGCATCACGTCTCCTGGGACAAAGTTGCTGTGGAAGTCAGTAGATGCACCTCATTCAAGCCGGCTGAACGAATAACCAGATGTCCCCTTCCTCTCCGAGTCTGCAAGCTGTAAATCCTGAAACTTCATGACCCCAACCTCCTTAGATTCGGGAGCGGAGATTGCTTGCATCCGAAAGTCAGCCGTTCGAGACCTCTCTGCGGCGCCTTTGTCCTGCACTGCTTGGGGAGTTCCCAAGCAGCTGAAAACGGAGATAGAAGTACGCTGTAAGTAGAAACCTTGCACCTTGCGGACTCCCCGAGGCGGCAGAGCCCACGTGAGAAGGGTCGTGAGAAGTGGATGGGACATGATGGAGTCTTTGTGATGTGGAATCATCCTCTCACGATGGTCAGTGTCTCACCCGGCCTCCGGGGTCTCAGACTCCCTAGCGCGATCAGCCCGGGCCTGCTTTTGGCTTCATGTGCACCCCTGCGCCCCTTGACCGTTTCAACTTCATGCGGTCCACAGCCCGGGGTGATCGAGCTCTCGCCTTCATCCGCAGTACTTGGGGACAGAAGTGATGAGGGTGCGACAACTGGTGGGCTTCAGGGATCTTCGTAATATTTTTGATCTTGGGAACCGACAGTTCCGAAAGTTGCAAGAGCAGAGCCCAGAGCCTGACTGTCCAGACATTTGAACCGAACTCGACTGCCAAGAGCTCGTAGCCTTGAAGTGCAGGCCGCGTCAAGGTGCAGCTGCTCACGAGCCGACCCGAGCTCTTTTCCAACTTGCGACCGCTGGCGCTCCGGCCGCGCTTTACTTGGGGAGACCCGCTTTGCTTTTCGGGGCTCTGCCTCTGTGCTTCGGATAAGAAAGGCCGTAAGGCTTCAGAGATCTTGAGAGCCCGCGGTTGCTTGGGGGTCGAAGCCTTTCGCTGCTGCAGCTGGCGAGAGGGTTTGAAACAGTGTGTTGCCTGCGAAAGCTCGTCTGCCTGGGTTTTCGAGTCTGGGCGAGGTGCATTTTCCCGACGGTCAGACCCAGGCTGCCGGGCAGATATCGTCACAGTGAGCGGCCGACAGAGATTTAAATGATTTGAGCGGTTGCAAGGATCCCGTGTGCGATTCTCACTAAAGGGGCTTTTTTGGGTATTCCACGACAAGCTGCCGAGAGACCCGAGGAGGGCGTCCTCCATAGCGTCTCCCGCAATCCTGCCGAGCCCCACCCTCAGAGGGGCCAGTACCCGTCTTTCCCTCCATGGTGTGCCCTCTGAGTCACTGTAAGGCTCATTCCGAACTCCGACATTGTCCTCTGGACTGGGCCGGTGACCAGCACGAAGGCGTGCTGGGGGCAAGCGCAAAAACTGTTGAAGTTTGCGGAAGTCATGACATTGACAGGAAGTCTTCGAGAACCTGCGGCCGTACCTGGATCCGCAGAAGACTTGCATTGGCACGATCTTCGCGCAAGGTGTGCGGCGGGCAGCCTGTCATGTGTCAACATGCAAACTTCAGGATTGGAATGCAAGGTCGCCATCGAGTCTTGAGATTCAACCCTAGACTTTCCGGAAGAAGGAGTTCACATACCTTGCGTGCTTGTGTTTCAGTGGTGGGGCGGAAGCTCGCCCGGAATCCCGGCAAACCTTTGAGGTGGGCAGTGGGCAGGCATAGTTCGGTGTGCAAGGCCTCGTGCATGTCTTGGCCCAGCGCACCTTCGGGCCCAGTATTCGTTGGGCCCTCGGCGCTGACAAGACGTGGAGACAATTTGAGATGGGGAGCAGTAGGAACATCGTGGATGGAGGCCTCCGCGAACTGTGAGCCGCTTCGTGCCAGGATGTAGAATCTCAGTATCTCAGGCAGCGACAGCTTTGTCAAGCGGATCCCAGCTGATGTTGATGAGGCTTCTTCGCCTTGCGCAACATCCCCTGGCTCTGCCGGGTGGTGAAGGCCTTTGAGGGAACTCGGACAGGTTGAGTATGGAAATCAGAGGCGTAGTGTCATGCGGCGATACGATTTGGACAGAACAGTGCACCCGTGTGGCTTGGCATGTAAGGAGTGTTTGCCTATCTAAGAACTGTCTTTTACAGCTCAGAGTCATGATCGCCAGGTTGGTGCGGAGTGTGAGATTGTCGGAGCCAAGAGCAGCATTGGATCCTTGGCTTGGTCTGAAGGCTGCGACATACTGGGACCTTCTCTGTGGCCGCGCATCGGGTGGTGCTCGCCAGCTCCTAGCTTGAGCCGATGCCGATCCGAGCATGAGTCCCAAAGTTGTGTGAAAGCCAGCCCACCGGCCGCTGAGGGGTGATGACAATGAACCTCACCAAAGAGTGGGCCCAGTGCCCAGAGGGGACGCTCCAAAGCAAGCACATCAGACATCGAAGCCAGGTCTGGCCACCAATATTTCAGAAGTTGGGCACGACAAGTCTTCCGAAGGTCAAGACAGAGCTGGAACCGCTATTCCTCGTCAAGAAGATGGGGCCAAGCCGCCATTTTGGCAAGTGGCAAGCTCTGTAGGATCTTAAGTGAGGGCGAGGTTCAAGGCCATGCAAGAAGAAGAGGCGCTCATAATGTGCAAGATTGGATTGATGATTGAGCTGCCAGCCGGGATGCATGGCGGCAGTAGGCTGCCGGACGTGAGGCATTTCTTTCGGCCCGTTATAGTATCTGGCAGGAAGCATGAACCGGTCATCGAGCTGCTTCCAGACTTCTGCCGGGAGTCCCAGGAATACACCCGGAGGATGCGAGCATCTGATTCGGGTACTTTCCTCTTAAACGTTAACAGCTGCGGAGTCTCTGCCTCAGCAGCTTGCTTGTCCTGTCCATGAGTCGCCCAGCTGAGGCCCGATTGTTTTCAACCCAGCCAACCAGATCATCCATCCCGCCCGCTACTGGGCCATGTTCCGAAACTGGAACGGCCAGCCGGGGCCTCGAAGCTTGGGCCAAGGCAGAGAGGTTGTGCGTTCGATCCCCCTCTGCTTGACTCCCCCGACCCATATTCGTCGCTTTGTGTGTGTATGTAAGTGAGTTAGAACAACCTGACTCTGGGGGCCGTACAAGCTTGCAGCGATCAACAAACATGTGAGACCCCATGTCCTGCACTGAGTATCCACTCAACGCTTTCACGGGTTTCGCAGGTTTTGCACCATCATACAAGCTGCGAAAACCTAAACCCTAAATCCTGTGAACGCCGCTCAGGGCTGCAGAACTGTGAAGAAGCAGGTTCCGAGACCACTATAGGCATGAGTGTCAGACCCCAAAGACCAGCAAGTTAAACACCGGCACGTTGACGCCACCGCGCAGGCCTCTTCCCAAGGACAGGGTGCTGGGCGCTGCTCAGGTGTTCGAAATGCAGCAACTCTTAGGGGGAGGCCCTGGGCAGCGAAAGGACACATTGACGTGTTGTGCTCCTGCTTGAGCAGGACATGGAGCCGCCTGAGTGGCTCTACAGGGACATGGTCGAGCCCTCGAACGCTCCGGTTTCAGTGTTCGGAATATGACTAAGCCTTGAATTGAGCAGACAGAGAGGCAGGCAGGTAATTCTGTTGACATGGGTTCTCCTTAGGGACTATGCATAGACTATGCATCAAGTGCGAACTCGAAGCCCGTCGAGTCTGAGCTGTTTCTTTATGTCTGGGTCCTTTGCCACTGCTGTCGGTGCTTCCAGGACGAGACTGCTGGACAGGTGTTGGAGGTGCTCGATGAGGCTGCTGCGAGTGGCTTGTCGCGCGAAGCACCCTTTCAACTTAGAACCGCCCGAAAGCTTAAGCCCGAAGGGACACTCCCCCAAGAGTCCCCGTTCAGGAGCTCCTGCTCTCCCCCGCTGACAGGAGCTGCAGCACCTCAAGGATGCCTTCCACCAGGCGGGGAACCCTGAGCTCTGCCGTCAGAGCCTGCGCCTGAAATAGCGAAAAGGCCTATTCGCGTGCAAGCTTTACGGGACGCTGAGTGACACTAGTTACTAGTTCTGTGTCAGGGCTTTCGAGAGTCTACATAATGTCTCCTGAGGCGCTCAGCCCAGAAATGGTCTGCCCTTCGTAGCAATGAAAGTGGAGCCGTTCCACCGTGTCCAGCAGCCGAGAGGGTCGAAGAGCTCATTTCGGCATCTGCCTCTTTCCAGAACCGCGCCGGCTTGCCTTTGCCCACACCGTAGTGGCATCGTCCAGAGAGCAGTTGCATGGAGTTCGGCTTCTACACAGCTCTTTGCTGGTACTGCGGACCTGGTGCAGGCAACGTGTGCCGAGGGCTGTGCCGGTCTCGGAGGGCTGCTTCCCGGTTTTCAATGGTGTCAGCAGGCTCAAGAGGTCGCAATGGTTCCAAAGAGAGGGAGAGAGACAGAAGGGAATTCCCTCCTCATCCTAGAGAGAGAGAAAGAAAGTCCTGTCTAATGAGTCGTCCCGCAGCCGGAGCCTCAGCATGCAGTTGAATGCAGTTGGATGTTCTAGTCGTTGATTAGATTCATGACGGGGTTCAATGAACATGCTGAGGGGGGAACATTGCAAACATGGCCTTGGCCCGATTGACATAAGCGTTACATTGGGACTCTAGGGTGTTTCTCGACAAAGAAAGTCCATCGGGGGAATCTGACTTTCAAATGGTAGGCCTTGAAGTGAGGGGACTTATAGTGTTGGTTGCTGTTGAAATCTGTAACCCCTCCAGACGTGTGCCCTGTAATTCAGGCGTCCAAAGTTAGTACTGTGTTCGAGCATCGGGGGAAACTAATTTTAGTAATGTTTGGAAAGCACCCGATACTTGAACAAAACTTTTCACGCATCCCCGAAAGCCCCATAACACATGGGGGGCCAATAGGCGGGGGCGTTTGACACGCAACCTATGCCCTGAAGAAGACGAAGAAGAAGAAGAAGGAGAAGGAGAAGAAGGAGAAGAAGAAAAAGAAGAAGAAGAAAAAGAAGAAGAAAAAGAAGAAGAAGAAGAAGAAGAAGAAGAAGAAGAAGAGAGAGAGAGAGAGAGAGAGAGAGGGAGAGAGCGAGAGAAAGAGAGATGGGAGAGACACACTCCCTAAAGCCTTACGCCTTCTTGAAGGCCAACATGTCATTCCCTTGGCCACGCGCCTGCTGGAGCAGTACGGCGACCAGATTGCCGACAAGCCACGCTCCTGAAGTCTGGATTTCCCGAGCTGCTCAACAACTCATACTGGGGACGGTGTAGTTGATCAGGCTGCAGTCATCATAGGTATATGTTGCGAGATTATATGGCGACTTGCAATCCATCAAACGGAAGATCCAAGCATTCACCGCAATCATAAGATCACAACTTTGTGTATGGGCCTGAATGTGCACAAATGACAAAGACTGAAGTCTCTGAGCTGAATGAATGCATTTTAACACAAAAGCTTTGGACACGGCCCAGGAAAACTTCCAGCAGCTCTGGACAGAGAGCAAAAAGATTAACGGACGTACCACGAAGTACGCCATATCTATCACCGTAATTTTGAGAACTTCGGTGACACATGGACATGAAGAAAAGCGAGATTGAAGCTCTTTGGTCACATCCTCAGATCATCAAGATCAGACCCGTTGAACCAGGTAGTATTTCGTTGCGACAGCCTACGGCCCAGGAATGTATTGACGAGAGACACATGCTGACACATTGGCATAAACACAAACTGCAGGCCCTATAGCCATGTTTGATCCCAGTAATGTTGCCATCTTCAATCAGTCAAGCAACAGGCTCTTGCAAGGCTAGATCTATTTTAGTTCCGGATGATGGCGCACACAGGCTTTCAACCTCTCCAGGTAATGCAAGCAGTAATCTCATCAAAGTTGATGCGGGGCTCTTGTTTGAGTTCGCATGTTTGCACATACGTCATGGCTTGACGACTAATCTACCCGTTTCTCTTTGGGAGCTCACCATGCTCGCCACAAAAAAGAGAGTGCTTCTTCAGATTCTTCAGAGGTCCACTATGGCCAAGATGGTCGGCACCAACAAGGCCTACTCTATGGCAAGGCTTGGATGCCATTGGCCTCAAGCTGTGCCCCAAGCGGTCCTGTCATCGCAGTGCAACGCAGGACGCCCGTTCTACGAAGCAAGCAGGGAGCATCTTGGAAGCAGGAAGAGGGGGAGCACTTTTTCGAGAACCTGGGCGACAATGTAAATCTGACAACTTCAACCTGGCAGGTCATGCCACATCCCACGCACCGCGTGGTCACAGATGACATCGGCTGGGGCCTGTGTGCTGGGAGCTCAGGGGCCTTGGATGCGCTCTTCATTTCCAGAAATTTGCAGGAATCGTTACTTTGAAGGCCGAGCTTGTGGTGATGAGTCGCTGACCCCCCTTTTCCATCCTTTGCCTGTGTTCGGCTGCAGCCTGAACACTCGAATTTGGCAGCCTTCAAGGGTCGAAAGCTTCGCTTGCGCGGCCGCCAGTGACCGTCAGCCACTCTTGTTGACACAGGACGACGTCCAGCGCCCCGTTCGGTTTTCATGCTGACGCCCGGTGGTGTGAGTGGAAGGAACGCTTTGCCCATGTTGCAATACGCCGCATCGCTGGAGCTTTGGGTTCCTTCGCCGGAAGAAACCAGGCGCTCGTGTCGAGCCAAACGGGCTCGAGATTAGGCCTGGACTTCTCTCCTTGTACGTATGTGAGAGTGCTGGCATCTCCGAAAGTCCGGGCCTGATGTTTTGGAGGGGGCTCCCTGCCGAGGCTGCCATCCACCAGTGTTTCTAGCTAGCAGAACCCGAAACGCCGAAACTGTGTGTGCTGCCCCTTCCAACGGAGAAAGTTCAGCTCTCCTCCATAGCGGGTCCCAAGGTCTTGGTGTCCATCGCCGAGCGCCTGCAGCGCCTGTCCCAGATGCGAAGATATGCGAAGATCGTGAGATTTTCAGAATGTCAGGTCTAGGTCAGGGCCTGGGGGCCTAGACTCTTGCAGGCTCTTTATTTTGAGGTCTTAGGCACAAAGCCTCGTGTTTTGCAAGGGAACTTGGCTTCCCGACTCCGACCACCATGATGCGGATGCTCATCGAGTGGCACCAGAAGCTGATGGGCAAGGACACCTGCTCCTCCTCATCCTCGCCGAAAGCTGGCCTGTGCTGTCAGGAGTACCTCTACAACGGTCAGCTGCGTGGGCGAGACTGCACGGAGTTGGTGCTGCTTCTTGCTTCGAAAAGTCGGAGAAGCTTGGGCGCACAAGTCTGCTCCGGGTGTGCAGTTTTGAGGCTGGGTCCTGGGGACGACCTCGTGCTCGTGGCCAAGGCCACTCGTTCTTTTTTCGAGGGTTGTACGGGAGAGAGAGGTGAGGTGGATCTTCGGGACGTGGTGGTTCGATGCGAACGCATCGAAGTGGCGTTGATTGGCTTCAGAGTTTCACTCTGGCATCTCAGATGTGTTCCGCAACCAAAAATGCACAACTTTGAGTCGGTCGGTCTGTTTCTTTCTCTTTCTCCCCTTGCCGACCGCCCAAAGACCAGGGAGTCGAAGGTGGCCGCTCGGACCATTGGATCTCCAACGCCGATGAGCAGGCGGGGGCCCTTTTCCCAGCGCTGCAGTGCCCCTGGTGATATTTGTGAGGCTATGGAGCCGCGCTACGGCAATCCCTGAGAGAAGGTGCAGAGTCGGCTTGCGGCTTGAAGCTCAGTGCTTCTTGGCCCAGGGCCCTGGTTTGAAAGGATGTTCTTCTGATCCTTTTGTCAAATTTGCCTCAAACAACGTGACCCTGTCCGAGTCTGGCTCTAGACACACTTGAAGATTGGTTCCATGTTTCTGGAGTAGTTCGGGCCAGAAAGGGAGTCGGAGCGGTGGAGGCAGTGCAAGACATCTCAGACGTATCAGTGCGTCGATGTGCGTCGACAGAGCTCCTTGAGGGTTTCTGATGGGCCCCCGGAACTTCTGACACTCTCGCTGCGTCGAAGCACTGAGCTGCCGACGTCCGTTTCCCTTTCCGCCAGCGACAAGCTTGAGAAGGAGTTCTAATGTCGAGCTTCTACGGTAAACGAGATGGGGAAAGGATGTCAGTGGACTGAGAGCAACGGGCGAGTGCCGCATGCGCGGTGCAGCTGTTTCCAAAGAGCACGACAGAGCCGGGTTCGCAGCGAGAGCGCCAGATGGAAAGCCTGTTTAAACGCACTGTAAGTTCTCCCGCCACAGAAGCAAACCTGCAAGGGCCGCCGAACCTCGAACCCTTCGCTCGTTCCCACCACCTCTGCCGCCGAAAAAATTCTGCTGCGGCGCGGGTGGAAGTGAGCTGATGCGCAGCGGGTGTATGCAACGGGTGCACAAAACGGTAGAGTTGCTTCATGCTTCACAGTCGCATAAAGCACGCCTGGAATGTTAGCCCCCCCCAACCTGAGACGGTGGCACTTCGAGTTTCTGATTATTGAGCCGGCAATTCAGCTCGGATTGTTGGCTTGGAGCAGTCGCCCTGCAGTGTTCGCCGCTTGCAGGCCTGGGTAATTTGCCAGAGATCTTTGTGCGACGTAGAGATGGTCAGTTGACAGGCCACATCAGCTACGGGGTCGAGTCTGAAGGCCTATTGACATGTCCTTGACTGTATGTCCTTGAGTGCAGCTTTCATGCTTTCATCTTTCAGCAGCCTACGCCTGCAACTTGCACTGCTCGATGTTTGCTCGAGGGGAACAGCAGTTTCGTATTTACGTCTTCCCCGGACCTCCTGGGGCATCACAAGACAATTGCAATTGCACGGCAGGGAGCACACTGAATCTTGCCATTGCTAGGGCTTGTCTGTCTCTTGCTTGCTTTGTTAGTAGAACCTCTCTCTTCTCTTTGGCGCCATGGCTGTGAACAGTGCGCCTCCCAGCGAAGAGCTCTTCGTGACCGGTTTGCCCATGGATAGCACCAGCGAGATGGCAAAGCAGATCTTCAGCCAGTACGGCTCCGTGAAAGAGACCACGGTCCTTCCCGTCTCCCCAGGGAAGCAGGCCGCGGCTGGCTTCGTGGTGATGAACAGCGTCGAGGACGCCAGATGGATCGTGGAGCACGTCAATGGCAACGTCCCCCAAGGTGCGGTTCGCGTCGGTTCTTCTTTGCTCCATGTAGAGTCGCTTTAGATTTGTGATACTTGCATTTGATGCCAGCTCGGAAGGCCTGGCTAACCCAGTGACCGTCGTCTTTGCGACTCCCAAGTCCATGCGCCCGGGTGGCGGTGGCAAGGGTGCCGCCATGAAGGGCATGATGAAGGGCATGAAAGGCTCCTGGGCTGCAGTTCTGTCCGTGATGCTTTTATCATCGTCTTTGTGCCGAGGCTCGGGCATGCCACCAGAGATGATGCAAATGATGCAAATGTTCATGAGCGCCATGGGAGGTGGCATGGGTGGTGGCAAGGGTGGCGGCTGGGGCAAAGGAGGTGGAGGTGGGGCTCGGCCACCCACAGGCAGCGTGATCCGACTCCAGGGCCTACCGTTCTCGGCATCGAACGACGAGATCCAGCAGTTCTTTGCAGGTTATGGGCTGACCGGACGAATGCACATACAGGCCGATGCAGGCGGCCGTCCCACAGGTATCGGATTCGTGGAGTTCGTCACACCGGAGGAGGCGAAGCGGGCTTACAACGAGAAGAACTACCAGACCATCGGTACCCGGTACATCGAGCTCATGGAAGCTTTCGACAAGGATGTTGAGATGTACCTGAATGGTGGCGCCGCAGTCATGAACGGTGGGGCCAGGGGATATTGAGGTATGATCCCTTTCCTTCGGTGACTAAAAAGGCTAACGGCTATCGGAACTCCAACGGCAGGCAGGTTGCAAGCCTGCGACATATGATGGGATGTCCTATGAGGGTCTTGAGGATGGGCTCGACTAGTGAGGGAGAGGTTCTTCAAATTAGTTCCTGTCAGAGTTTTGTGTGGACTGACTCGAACGAAGACGGATTACAGTATACCGTTTTTGAGCTAGGTAGCTGTTCGAGAATGGTTCAGAATACCATGAGCCAGTCCTGTGTAGCCTACGAGCCGGAGACACAAATCTCCACGCACTGCGCCAAATGCAAAATAATGTCTGCACCGATTCATGCAGTCGTATCTTGTGCTTGAAATCAGAAGTAGCCGCTCTCACTACATTGGCAGCATAACTTCTGCGCGTGGCAAGAAACAGAGCGCTACCCGACGCGCCGCAAGGCTGCGAAGGCATCGAGACCCTCGAGAAGACCAAGCTGCGGAGCCATAGGACAGCACAGACTCATGCAGGCAGATGCCGATCTCAACGGCCATGCTCTTCGCCTGCATGTCGTTTACGGTGTCCGAAGGCAGCTTCACCGCACCCGCCCCAACGAACAGTCTTAAGACTGGACAAGCCACCTTCTGCCAGGATGCACCCGCACACACAAGGGTGCATCCGTTCTTCAAGACGGTCAAGCTGAAGTTGTCCTGGTTGGGATCTTTTGATTCTTGCTTGTGCAGGCTTTTGCAGGATTGCTTCAGAGAGATTTTTTCAGGAACGACTGCACTTTGGCATGCGTTCTCGACAGCCGTGTCGAGGACAGCTAGTGGAAGAAAGCTAAGATGAAGCTGTTGGTACAGGTTGTGCGTGCCAGTCCACCTGACTCCATGAACCAACTCTGTCTTGATGTAGACAAGCTCCGCGCCAGACAACTACATGTCAGACATGCTGTG